TTACTAATACTGAAAAACAAAGTTTTACATGCAGATCCAAAGGAGTCTCAAAGGCACGTATGTCACGTGCACATGTGTTAATGTGGTGTTAGCTGCTTCTCGAGGCCCCATCATCCATTTTAATTTTCTTTTCAGGTGTTTCTATACTTTGAAGATCATGGACTGGTGACATGCTCTGCTGATCATCTCATTATTTTGTGGAAAGATGGAGAGCGAGAATCTGGATTGCGCAGTTTAAGATTATTTCAAAAATTAGAGGAGAATGGTGACTTATACCTTGCTCTCTAAGGAATTAAAAGTACACATGCATGAACCTTGTACATCAAATATAGGTACTACTCTGAAAACCATTAACATATTCATCATTTAAATTTGTAAATTTTGTCCATAAAATTCTATGTTTAACTTTTTTGTGGACCTACCAACCAGGAACATGTTGCTTCTCAGGTCCTAGTACATCCTCCAAAGAATATGCCACAAGTTTTCCATTTGACTTTGATCTGCTGTTGAAGTGGTGAGTGCTGTGTTTTGAGCTTATTTTGAACCTAGACCCTTGTGAAAGGTACAAATAGAGGTAACAGTATAGTTGTGGCATTTATTAAAAGTTTTATTATTTGGGTTCCTTTAGTATTCTTGTGATGAGTTTAAAAATAGCCTTTCTCCTGCAGATTTTTCTGGTCTTTAGTAACATTAGTCTTCTATAGCACAAACTTGAATCTCTCTGCCAAAAAAATGAACCACCTATACTGTTTAAGTACTACAAGTTTTTTTTTTGGTACCAATTTGTTTAGATAATTTAACAAAGGGTTTTTAGTTACACCTACTAAAACCCATATGCACCTAAATGGATAGGAATCTTATGAGCGTATATTTTCCCCCATTGTGAACTGGCTTGAACAGCCATGGGCTAGATTGATATTAGAACAACAACTGCCCCTCCTGTATGCCAAGGATGAGCTCTAGGTCATTTGAGAGGCACAGTCAGAGACTGCAGCTGAGCACACCTGTGTCCTGACTCACAAACTGCTTGAGACAGGCTTCCTTTCTGTAGTTGTTTGCAGTGTCCATCGAGACACTATAACCAGCCTTGTAACAGTATGTTTTCTCCTTTTGGTGCTAAAAAATAAAGTTAGAAAGTAGTCTACACATCAAAGATTGAAATTCTTAAACTACTGATTAAAGAAAGGGCAGTGTTACTGATGTTAATGGACTATTCTTCCAGAAAACCTTCTACAGATTTACTTGTTCATTATACAAATACATCCTACAAGGAATCTTTATAAAAGTTCTTTTTACTAGTTTTAGCTTTGACAGTTGCTTCCACACCCACCTACAGTCAGAGACCGGAAGAGTTAAGATCATCTAGGTCGACCCATGGCATGATGTTATAAAAAGTGAGGCCCACTATGGTCAGGCCTTAAAATGAGCTCTGTAGTGCCCAGTGTCACCAAGCAGGAATTGAAGACTGAATGAGAGAAAGGGTTATATGACTACTTTAAATCCAAAGAACATTTAGTCATGAAAAGTTCTATGGAGAAATCACTAAGCTACCTCCATCACAGAAGACTTTCTGCCATTACTGCGTGCTTTTTTTCTTTAGGAATTCTATATTAGCCCATATATTTGTAAAGTGGTTTTTTAAAATTGTATGATACAACAGGGTCATACATTTTTAACTGTTTTACTTCCTAGCCTGTTCTGGATTAGTATTTTATGATGGTAATCTATTTAAATGGAGTGGTAAAAAACACATGAATTTTGGAAGCAAACGGTAATATAGTACCACAGCAAATTCCTTCTATCATTATACAAGCATACCTTGGAGATATTACAGGTTAAGTGTCAGACCACATCAAAAAAGCAAGTATTGCAATAGATTGAGTCACATCTAGTTTTTGGTTTCCCAGTGTCTATTAAAATTATGTTTATACTGTAGTCTTACATTTCTAAAAAATGTACATACTTTAAGAATACTTTATTGCTAAAAAATGCTAACAATCATCTGAGCCTGCGGTGAGTCATACTCTTTGCTAATGGTTGCTGAAGGTTGGGGTGGCTGTGGCATTTCCTTTAAATAAGACAGTGATCAAATTTTCCACATCAATTGACTTCCTTTGACAAAAGATATCTCTGTAACATGTAATACTATTTAGTAGCATTTTACCCACAGTAGAACTTTTTCAAAATTAGAGTGTGTCATCTAAAACCCTGATGCTGCTTTATCATCAACTAAGTTTTTGGAATATTCTAAATCCTTTGTTGTCATTTCAACTCTGTTTACAGCATTTTCACTATGGAATGACTGTCTCCAGAAACCACTTTCTTTACACGTTCTTAAGCAACTTCTCATCTGTTGAAGTTTGCTCATGAGATTACAGCATTTCAGTCACATCTTCAGGCTCCCCCTTCTTCCAGATTCCTTTTAATATTGAAATTTTGACCACCTCCCATGAATCAGAATGTTCTTAGTGGTGTCTAGAATGTTAAATCCTTCCCAGAAGGTTTTCAGTTGACTTTGCCCAGACCCATCAGAGGAATCACTAGTTATGGCAGCTACAGCTTTATGAAATGTATTTCTTAAATTAGACTTAAAAGTCAAGTGACTCCTTGACCAATGGACTATATAGAATGTTGGATGTTGTGGTAGCAGGCAAGAAAACATGAACCTCCTTGTACATCCATCAGAGCTCTTAGATGACCAGGTACATTGTCAATGAGCAATATTTGTAAAGAAATTTGAATACAGTAGTAGGTCTTAACCATAGGCTTAAAATATTCAACAAACCATGCTATAAATAGATGTGCTGTCATACAGGCTTTGTTGTTCCACTTCTAGAGCATGGGCAGAGTAGATTTAACAATTCTTAAGGTCCTTAAGGTTTTTAGACTGGTAAATAAACGCTGACTTCAGCTTACAGGCACCAGCTACATTTGCAGGCATTGAATTTCTCCTCTCTATGAAAGTCCTAGATGACATCTTCTTCTAAGAGAAGGCCATTTCATCTTCACAAACTCAGTAGTTCAGTGTAGTCACCTTCTGGATAACTGCCTGCTGTTACCCCTTGCACTTTGATGTTATGGAGATAGCTAGCTTCTGCGTCAACCAACCTCTGCTTGCTTCCAGCTTTTCTGCTGTAGGTTCCTCACCTCTCAGTCTTCAAATAATTAGGCTTTGGCTTACGGGAATGTTGTGACTGGTTTGATCTTTTATATAGACCACTCAAACTTTCTCCGTATCAGCAATACCGCTGTTTCACTCTTATTTGCATGTTTACTGGAGTAACACTTTCAAGAAGTCTTCCTTTGCATAACCTGGCTAACTGGTGTAAGAGGCATGGCTTTTGACCTGCCTGGGCTTTCAAGGCACCTTGAAAGCCTTCCTTAATAAGCTTAATTTGCTGTAGCTTTTGATTTAAGGTGAGAGACATGTGACTCTTTCTTTTATACTTGCACACGTAGAAGCTAGTATAGGTTATTAATTGGCTAAATTTCAATATAGTTGTGTCTCAGTGAATAGGGAGGTGCAAGAAGAGGGAGAGATTAGAAACTGCTAGTTGGTTGACAGAATATACACAACATTTATCACTTAAGTTCACTGTCTTATATGGGCATGGTTTGCAGTACCCTAAAACAATTATAGTTAAAAACATCACTGATCATAGACCACCATGACAGATACAAGAATAAAAATGTTTGAAATAAATACTCTGAGAATTACCAACATGTGACATAGACACAAACTGAGCCCATGTTGGAAAAAATGCGCCAATAGTTGCTCTAGGCAGGGTGGCCACGAGCCCTCAATTTGTAGAAAAGGCAGTATCTTTGAAGCACAATGAAGCAGAATGCAATAAAATGAGGTATCCTTGTATTCTAATTTTCTGCCATGAAAAACAACTATGTCTAGAGGGCAGTCTCCAACCCAGGAGCTAGATTGCTTTTGTTTTCATGCATGCTCTAAGGTCAGAGAGGGGATAACAGCATAATGGGAGATTCTGGTAGGAACTCAAATCTGATGGTGTTCAGTAGTTGCATGCAGACTGCTGCTAAAAGTTGGACTTTCAATTTAGAATAATAGATCAATGTATATTACATTTTCTCCATTTCCCAAGTTTAGCTTTCAACACTTAAGATACTTGCAACAGCAGAAGTAACACTATGTAGTGTTACAATGTGTACAAATGCTTTGTTATTTCTATTTAAAAATATGTTTGTTACTTCAGTCTCTGGCTGTATTCACGTAGAACAAGAGCACAGGGTCATCCCTCCTCTTTCTCTCTCTAAAGCTAAGTAGGTTCTGAGTGAACTGATGGGCTTTTTTGCCCTGAAGGCTAACTACTCCTGACTCGTAGGGCAAGTCAATTTTAAAATCTTAAATTAGAAATAAATAATGATGTTAGGAAATTATAGGGTCATTCTGGTCCAACAATGTTTTATAACTAGCTTCATTCTTCTCTTTAGTAGTCATGGAAATAATTAGAGTTGCATTTTCCTAATACAGCCCCCCTCAATACATGACGTTTTAGTAAACAACTCCATGTAAGAGGCAGTTATAATAGTTTATATAATATAAACTATCTGATACACATACCATCTGAAAGCCTGTATTTCTAACAAGTTGACTACATGGAAGAATATACTAGTTTGCAGCTCAGAAGATTATACTGTAGATTACACCGGTAAAGAGCAAAAATTGCTGAAGCTTTAGTACCTAGCTCTCTTAAAGCATTTTTAAACATTTGCTCATTACTAGTAAGTTTGAATTTAACATGAAACTTGACATGACACTTAGTAAGAAGATGCCAGATAGCTGATAAATGTTACTTACCACATAGAACTGACAGAGAGATGATCAGAAAAAGACTGTCCTTGCCTCAAGCAAGCTTCTGAAGCCTAGGCAAGTTAGCTAGCTCCTTCATATGGGATTCTGGCCTCCTGATTTTAATGTGCTCTGAAAACAAAGTGTGTGACTCATGAAATAAAGGACACTAAACCCCAAATTTGAAATTATGAAAAGTTTAGGCCAAAGAGGTAAAATAAAAACAGCTGCTGGGAATGAAAAATGGCTGTAGGAATTTAGTTACAAGTACTTCACAAAAACATTTTCATCACATTGACATAATATAGCATTACAATACAAAGCTGGCTGCTGTCCTGACCAAGCAAGTTCTCTTATCATCTAACAAAAATAATTTAGATACATTTCTTTGCATGGAATTGTCCTATTTTTCCATTTTTGGTACAAAACATAGAAAAAAACATTGGCACATTATGTAGTGATAAGTCATTTTTTCCCCATGTACAAGTTCCAAGTATTCTGCATTCCAATTTGTATTGGAAAAAAAGTAACTACTGATTCAATTAATTCAGTCTCTGTTTATACCTTTTAAAAATGCAGCATGAAGTACAGAGAAAGAAAAACTAAGTTTGTTTACGGAGTCTGATATTTATAATACATAAAGAAGGATCGGCTGGTAAAAGAAAGGAAAATCTCAAGTCTGACTTTATGTAGATCACAGAAAGTTGTGAAAAGAGCAGTATAAAAATATGCACTTGTGCTTTAGAAGCTTTTAGCATACAATTAATAGCTTAAAATAGTATTTACTGCCTCCCCATATGCCTATTTTCTGATATATTTACACCGCACAGTTTTAACATTGTTAAAGCAAATGGCATGATTTCAAATATAGATTGGTTAAAAATATCTGAACCTTGAAACTTCCCCATCCCCTCCCGAAATATCGTATATGTGGTGCATGGCACAACATACTCCATGGGCTTACGCCCAGAAAATTTGGATTTTAATAAAAATTTTAGACATTTATATAAACTTCTTTAAAAAAAAAAAAAAAAACTTGTCCAAGGGCATTCAGATTTAATGGCTTTTATATAATACTTGGTAGAGTGCCTCATGGCTGCCTCTGTGAGCCTGAAATAAGGGAAGCTCATGGACTCCCTCCCCCACGATGACATGCCACTTTTTCCCTTATCATAGATGGCTTTCTGTTAAGATTTATCCCTTTTACGGGAAAGTGGGTAAACAGGCTGCTGATACCAGTCTAGAGAGGGCACTCACCAGCCAAGGCTGCGTTCTAACCTGGGTGTCACACCATTAGCAAGAAGAACCATGTAGCCATAGAGGCTGTGAAGCTAACTAGTTGATCTGTAATTTGGTCCTAGTTGTTTCACTTATTTTATGTAGTTTTTTTCTTAGATACATCTGTTCAGATAAACTTCTTATGACTCCTTCAGATCGATGCTCTTGAGGAAGATAGTCAAGCTAAACAGCAAATATGACTTTTATGGGAAGGGATGAGCTGAGCACTAGCTAAGCCACTTAGTCACCATCCTGGGGGATGAGCTCACAGACACCAAGGCTTTGCTTCCTGTGGCCCGCTAGTTACCGTGAATCAGCTCCATGGATTGACAAGGGTACACAGGATGACAGCAGAGCACAGGAGTTTGCCAATTTGTTCTGTCATTAAGTGTTCAAACAAATGTGTATTTTTCTTCATGGACTAGAACTTTCTAAAATGAAATTTGGGGACTTGAATGATTCAAGGTCAAATATTAAACATTAGCTCCTTCACCAGTACCTGTCATTGTCATTAGAAAGGAAAGCCTCTTATTTACACTACTGTGATTCACAGTGTCCTTTGTACGTCAAGAGGCCCCTTCTGTTGCTTGGCTTTAGCTGTCAGATGGAAGCCTCAGACTTTTGCACTTTAGGTCATCTAGTGTCTTCCAGTGTTTGTAGTTGTCAGCCAGATGTTGCATCAGGGCTGGCAGATGTGCAAAGGCTGCAAGGACAGAAAAGAATCAAAAGAAATCTGTTAAGTTAGACCCTAGGAGCATTTGTAAGCGGGGGGCTATCTGGGGCAAGTTTGGGATCGGAATTAGAGGAGCGGTACCCTGGGTGAGGCCTTAGGCTGTAAGGACAAGTCATTAAACAGTAGTTTCTGAAATACAGGTCCTTTTTGAAAAGCTGCTTATCAGTGACATTATCAGAAGAACCTGTGATTCAGAGTAATTACATTTTGCATTCTTTCCAGAGTTTCCTCCAATGATAGAATAAAACTGCAGTAAGCTTCAGCAACATGTCCTTTAAAGAGGGAAAGACTCGCTCATCCAGTTATCAAACATCCATCGAGTTTCTGCACGTAAGGTTCTGTGCCAGGTGCTGGGGTTGCAAAGAATGCACCCCACCCTACTCAGCCACAAAAAGCTGACAGCCACATTTTTTTAAAAATGTATTTTGTTTACATTTAGGCCCAGCCTATGTCATTAAAGATAATCAAAGTATAATAAAATGTTCTTTGTGGGTGACAAAGCTGTAACTATCTTACCATCCCATGCATCAAACATGTCTGTTATGAAGTAGTCAATGAAAGATATCTGAGACTTGGGGATGCTACAGGTATTCCGGTCAAACACTGGCATCACCACAGGGAGCCCCTGTCTCTTCTCTTCATCAGTCTGTAAGAAAAAAACACCACCACATAGGGCTGTAGCACATGTGAAACACTTTCATGGTAATATCCAGTTTCTCAGAACAACCCTGTGAAAATGGGTCATTATCCAGTTTTCTCAATGAAGAAATAGGCTCGGCAAGGTCCTCAGACTTACATAAGTCAGCTGAGCTACAGTGACAGCACTCAGGCCTTCCCACTCTCAAGCCTCTTTATTTTTGAGATGGAGTCTCACTTTGTTGCCAGGCTGGAGTGCAGTGGCGCAATCTCGGCTCACTGAAACCTCTGTCTCCTGGGTTCAAGTGATTCTCCTGTCTCAGTCTCCTGAGTAGCTAGGATTACAGGCACCTGCTTCCACACCCAACTAATTTTTGTATCTTTAGTAGAGATGGGGTTTCACCATATTGGCCAGGCTGGTCTTGAACCCTTGACCTCAGGTGATCTGCCTACCTTGGCCTCCCAAAGTGCTGGGATTATAGGCATGAGTCACTGTGCCCAGCTCCAAGCCTCTTACTTTCTATGCTATACCATACCATCTCCTGACACAATGATCTGAGGGTAGTTAGCTCCTTTTCTGTGATCTGCTTTCATTATTGCAAAGTAAAAGCTATTTTCAAAGTCATACAAACACTGATTATTATACCAAAACTGATATTTACACTGAGAAGAAGCAATAATGGGTAAAACTGCTAATGCCTTAGCATGACTCAACGAAGTAGCACCAAACTGTATTAATAGCCATAGTCATTGTACTATTCGCTGCCACATGTTTCCACTTTCAAAAAAAGTTTTGGCTGGGCACGGTGGCTTATGCCTCTAATCCTAGCACTTTGTGGGACCAAGACAGGTGGATCACAAGGTTACGAGTTCAAGACCAGCCTGGCCAAGATGGTGAAACCCCACCTCTACTAAAAATAAAAAATTAGCTGAGTGTGGTGGCAAGCACCTGTAATCCCAGCTACTCAAGAGGCTCAGGCAGAGAACTGCTTGATCCCAGGAGGTGGAGGTTGCAGTGAGCCAAGATTGTGCCACTGCACTCCAGCCTGGGCAACACAGTAAGACTCTGTCTCGAAAAAAAAAAAAAAAAAAAAAAAAAGTTTCAGGCTAGGAACAGTGGCCCATGCCTGTAATCCCAGTGATTTGGGAGGTCAAGGCAGGAGGATTGTTTGAGGCCGGGAGTTTGAAGCTGCAGTGAGCCAGGACTGTGCCACTGTACTCTAGCATGGGTGAAGAGTGAGACCCTGTCTCAAAACAAAACAACAAAAAACCAAGTTCACTTAAGAGTGACTTCTTTGAAGCAGTTATTAATTGTATGAAATCTTGACCTTTGAGTACGTATCTCTAATATTCTGTGTGATTAATGTGATGAGATGGGAAGAACGCGCACTTGCACTGCATACCAAAGTCTCCTGATTGTCTGTGGAAAAACACTTACGCACTTGAATTGATCTGAACCAGCTCCTTTTTTCCATGGAGCATTATCTTTTGCTCTGAAGAATGACTGTCAAACTATGATTGTTCAGATTTGGGTATTAGCCATGCAGATTTTGAGGTGTGTGGAAATCTGAGTATTATGCACATTAAATAAGTCCATCATTCATTGAACTGAATATTAAGATCTGCATTTCCTGGTGGTGTATTGAGCCAGAGGCCAGCTCAAAGGCTGCATTTGTAACTTTCATTTTTAGGTCACACTGGTGTATGAACATTAGTACATTCCTTTTTGGGAAAAGGACACCTAAATAGGAAGCTTACATCAAAAAACTTAAAAGCACATTTTTTTCATTCTCCATTCGCGCTGAGAATAACTAGGAGTAGTACTTCAGGTCCTCTCTCTGTGGGTCCTGGGAAACACACTGATGAGCAGAGCTTTTGGCTTGGCTCATTTCAGGTCAGTCGATCAAGCAGCCTTAAAATATCCACTGGTGTCCAGGGAGTCATTTGATTCCCCACCCCCTTCCTATTCTTCTATCTGAAAAGCTGAGAACCACCTGTCCTACTTTTCTTCAATTCAGCGCCCTCTTTCCAGAAAGCTGCAGTTTACTTACTGGATTTCATGAACAGACCCTTCTCAAAAGATAAGATATAAGCAGCCACAAACAAAAATGTCCAGGCTGGGCACGGTGGCTCACACCTGTAATCCCAGTACTTTGGGAGGCCGACGGGGGCAGATTGCCTGCGCTCAGGAGTTCAAGACCAGCCTGGGCAACACCGTGAAATGCCATCTCTACAAAAATACAAAAAATTAGCCAGGTGTGGTGGCGTGTACCTGTAGTCCCAGCTACTTGGGAGGGTGAGGCAGGAGAATTGCTTGAACCCAGGAGGCAGAGGTTGCAGTGAGCCAAGATCGCACCACTGCACTCCATCCTGGGCGACAGAGTGAGACTCCATCTCCAAAAAATAAAAAAAAGGTCCAGCATCACTACTCAGACATGCAAACCAAAACTACAATGAGATACCATCTCACACTAGTCAGAATGGCTGTTATTAAAAAGTCAGAAAATAAGAGATGTTGGCAAGGTTGTGGAGAAAAGAGAATGCTTATACACTGTTGCTGAGAATATAAATTAGTTCAGCTAGCCCCTGTGGAAAGCCATTAGATTTCTCAAAGAGCTAAAAATAGAAATTGCCATTCAACCTAGAAGTCTCATTACGGGGTATATACCCCGCCCCCACCAAAAATAAATCATTCTACCAAGGAGATACCTGTACTTGTATGTTTATTGCCCCACAATTCACAAAAGATATGGAATCAACCTTGGTGCCCATCATGTGTGGACTGGATAAAGAATATGTGGTGCATATAAACCATGGAATACTACGCAGCCATAAAAAAGAATGAAATCACGTCCTTTGCAGTAACATAGGATAACAGCCTCCAGCTCTATCCAAGTGAAGTAATGTAGAAACAGAAAACCAATTACCACATATTCTTTCTTATAAGTGGGAACTAACACTGGGTACACACAGTGGCAGAAACTGGAAGAGTGGACACTGGAGACTTCAAAAGGGAAGGAAGGGGGCAAGGGTTGAAAAACTCCTCATTGGGTACTGTGTTCACTACTTGAGCCATGGATCATTAGAAGCTCAAACCTCAGCATCAACAATATGCCCTTGTAACAAACTTGTAACAGCCCTGCACATGTACCCCCTAAATCTTACTGGGTCCTCTGCTGGCCACTCTCCTTCCCAGTCCTCCTAGGCATCATCTATTCTTTATCCTGCCCTTATTTATCCTGCCTCCATAGTACAGTTCAGCCGTGCAGACCCCGAAAAATTCACTACTTGGGGCTACTTCTTTGTCACCCACACACACATCAGTGCTTAGAGCCTTTCCTCGGGAAGTAGGGCTCTGTTTCAAGTGTCCACTTGCAGTCTACCTCTTTCTAGATTTATCTCCTTTAACTCCTTACACTGCCAGTTAAAGTGAACTACACATTGTTCTTCATGTAAAAATTCTATTTTCCCTCCCCTTGTTAATTTTACTCAGAATGCTTTGTTCTTCCAGAGTCTTTTCCTATTTCCACATTTCTGTAGCCCCCGTTTTATCTAGAAAAAAAAAAAGGCTCTCTGAACTCCTGTAGCACTTAACATAAACTTCCTTAATATATGCTTCGTTTTTTGCCAATATGTGGACCCATCTACATCTCTCCCCCACTAGGCTGGGAACTCCCCGTGGCTGTGATGTCTTTACTAATCCCTGTTTTCCCATAACGCACCATGGAGACGCCCAGGAATAACCTAGTGAATGAATGAACATTTCTCAATTTTTGTGGAAGTTCTGGATCCAACAATTTGAGGACAAAAAGTTATTCCCAAAGGCTCAATTTATCTCTCTTCTAGAGAGACTTTTTTTAGTGACCAGCCACATCAGTCAGTTCCTGAGGGAAACAGAAGTCTACTCCAGGCAGAGGCGTGAGCTGCTTGGAGTAGCAGGGAGGAGTGGTTAACTAATTGGTAAAAAGTTACTCAGCTGGAGAATTCCCCAGGAGTTCCATGACCTGGGGCCCATTCCCCAGAGGGAAGTGGAAAGATGGCGCACCTGTGCAAAATACTCCTCAGAGATCCTCCCAGCCCATTCAATGCACAGGTCCAAGGGGCGGCATGGGTTGGCCACGTCAGCACACTTAATCATCATGCGTTTGATCAGGATTTGGTTTTCAGGGAAGTTCTTCCCAGCAGGGTTGCATTCATAGTCGCTGCCCTCAATCTGGAAAACAGGGGTCAGATCAGGGTTGGTTCAAGATGATGGGGAAGACCACAAGGACTAACTCACCAGGCATTCAGTGATGATCACAGTGGATCTTACTAGGTGTGAACCTTCTGTTTCATGTTCTTAAAATTCAAATTGGTAAGGACCTTAAGGCATGTCCAAGGTACATGAGTAGGTTTTACAACAAATGCTTCTGCTTTCCAGTCACTCCCAGTCTTATGATAGTCTTCAGGTACTGGTATGTTTTTAATGTGAATCAGGAACATTCCTTGTTCTTTAAAACACTCTCCAACTTTGAGGTTTCCCAAGAGCTCAACGAACAGAGAGATAAAGGCACTGGATTCTCTAACATGCCACCATTTATGCCAGACTCTGCTCATCTACGGCTCCTTCCATCATATTCTTTGGGCCTAGCTTTTTTGGTCAGTACTGGCTTTTTCTCAGGGCCTTTCTTCCAAGGAGCTCAGAGTTGCTGTGGGCAGTTTATTCTCATCCTCAAGAAAAACAATGGCCAGTCCTTTCAGTCCTTTACCAACTCCAAGCAAATAACCACCTTGCATTTGAGAGAAAATGCTTCGGGGCCAGAAAAGGCTGTCATGGAAATGTACATGCACGTGCCTTATGGCATGGAAAGCGGTGCTCACCTCAGCTGCCATTGGCTTGTTGATGCTGTTCACAAACTTATTCACATGTTCAAAGTGTTTTGTCATCTCTGTTGCCAAAACCATGTCAATAATAGCCTGGCGCAGTGTTCGATAATGGTTCCTAAAATAACCAGAAGACAAAGGGGCTTGTTCACAGTGTGTCTCGAATTTTAACGATCCTGCCACCATTTCACTACACTCCTCACAACCTAGGAGGAAGCTGGGGCAGAGTTAAGAAATGTGTGCAGATCACAAGAAGAGTTTACCTGCTTGTTCTCCCAAAATGCAGATGCTATTCCATTTTCCCCAGTGACAGCTGACCCTTCCATATGTGATTTGTGAGTATTTTAAAAAAGAGAGAAGATACCTATCTCATGGTGGACATTTATCTGACAAGGTGATTTCCCTCTCCCTTTCCTTGAGAACATCTAAACAGTAAGGTGGCAGGAAATGGCAGGCGGGCATGACAGCCACATAAGCTGGCCCACTGCACTCTGTGCAAACATAGTGATTCCCATTGCACAGCAGGGCCATGGCCTCTTTCAGTGACGGCATTAGAAGATTTTCCTGTTAATAAGTAATTCTCTAGATTGCAGTGCATAGAAGTTGTAATGAATGAAGCAACAACCCTGCCCCAAATTACCATCCAATTCTATCACCTTTTTCTAACTTCAAGAGCCAGAATGGCTCTTGAATAAAATTGGCTATTGGAAAGAATTCTTTCTGCAAAAGTTTAAAATCCCATCCTTGATACTGATGAAACTGAAGCCAAAGCTGGAATAACTCATCTCCATGTTTTCCCAGTTGTTTTCTGGAGACCAAACTGACAGGCTCACATAGACCAGTGGTCCTGAGGCCCGAGTGAGCTCTGCGTTCTCTGTACACTGCACCCTCCCAGGCGTCTGTCCACCAGCATGGCTGGTGCTGTGTGGGAAACACCCATAGTCTGACTGCAAGATGCTGGCAGGCAAGAGGAGCTGCTCATATTTAACCCACTCTCATCAGAGGAGAATGCAGGGCTAGGGGAACCTGCCTGACACTTCATGCTCCTGCTTCTCTGTGGGACCTACTCACAAAGGAGTGTTTTAAGTGGCCGAATATTGAGCTGGGGAAAGATGGGGGTGGATCATTTTCCTTGAGTTACACAAAAGACAGGATGTCCTCATAGGAGGGTAAAAATATCTGCTGTACTTTCTAATAATACAATCAATATTTATGTAGTGTTCTGCAGTGTATAAAACATTTTTATGAACTCACTGAAGACTAAATGAAATTTCAAAATGTAAAGGCAGTCTGAAAAGTCAAATTAAGTTAAGGGCAAGGTTATTTTATCATCTGATACAGTGGGACAGCTATTATTTTCCCTTTCCCCGAAGAGGAAGCTAAGTCTTTGGGAAAACCCAGTTTCCCACTTAAACTTCACAAACTTGAGCACAAGAGCCCAAGCACAACAAACCTGTCAATATTCTTGAAAATGTTGCACTTGGTGTCCTTGACCGTGAGCTGGAAGGCCAGGGCGGTGTGGTGGCTCTCCAGAACCGCAGTGTCATTATAGAGCACAGCAAGCTCGCTGCCTGCATTGCAGAGGAACGAGTTGGTCCTTCCCGGGTGATCCACATCGTGGACCGTGGCAGCAATGAGGGCTGCCACCTCATCCAGCTGATCGAGGCTTCCCTGGGATAAGGAGGAGGCAAGGTTGAGCATTACTCACTGGATCTTGGAGACCTGCATCCATCCCTGCCTGTACAGAGGGTTGGGTCAGAGGATTTGGGATTTTCAGAACGTTTTTAGCCTGTTGAGGCTTCCGACTTCCTAGATGTGGAGAGGCGGCATTGGACATGCAGCATCGCTTTACTCTGCTGTTATCTGTCAGGGAAACCTGAGCCACAGCTACAACAGATGCTTCTGCAGGAAGAGGCCCAGCAGGCCTTTTGAATTGCCCACTGTATGGTATTACTGCCATAGCAGAAAGTGGCCTGTGATCACAGATATAACCAATTTGCCCACTCTGAAAAGATTTTGAGTGTGCTGGTAGCAAATGGCTCAGACACAATGAAATTATTCACACAATGGGGAAATGACTAGAGCTGAGCAGTAAAAGACGACCAAGGGAAAGAAGAAGGAATGCCAGGAAAATTAAGGCTAAGGGGGCTCTTGCAGCTAGGAACAAAATTCAGCTCTGGGCTAGCAGGCAGCAGAGGCAAAAAGGGAAACCCTATTTCGAAAGCTCTCATTATATAATTAACACAAACTGGAGCATGTGGGGATACAAGTGTTTTCTGAGCCTACAGCTTTAGGAGGGAGTTATCAGATGGGCAATGTTATGTAAGAGATGCTATACTATGAATGTATTATTGAGTGCCTACTAGGTACCAATTATCACCGCAGAGTGCCAGAGCTGCAGTGATGATTTACACCGGCACAGTCTGCACAATGGAGTTTGTCATACAGAGGGAGAGAGACAAATAAATTTTAAAACAAATAGAAGTAACTTACTGTGAGATGTGCCAAGAAGGAAAGTGCAGATACTTTGGAAGTAGAACCATGGGGCCTGGTCTACTTTAGGCAGCACTGTCAAGTATATTTTTTGCGATGAAAGAAATGTGTTCTATTTGTGCTATCCGACAGAGTAACCCCTAGTTGCATGCAGCTACTGGACACTTGAAATGTAGCCGTGCAAATGAGGAACTGCATTTTAAACTTTACTTAGTAGCTATGTGAGGCTGATGGCTACCATATCAGATAACATGAGTGTAGACGGGGGGCACTTCAAAGGGAGTGATTTTTATGCTGAGCCTGAAGGGGAAGCAGGAATTGTCCAGGCAACAAGCGGCAAGAGGGGAATTCCAGCCAGAAAGAACAGCCTACATGAAGCTCCTAAAGTCCAACCAAAAAGGCCTGTCCAGGAAACGTGAAGAATATCATCATGGCTGAAGGGGAATAGCGAGTGAGAGGGAAAGTGGTCCCCAAGATGAGGGGTCATATTTTTGGTATTCTCAAAATTTGCTCTAGGAGAGCTGCTGCTCAGGGGAGGAAGGCGAACCTGTAGCTCAGCACTGTCCTGTGAGGGCACCCTGATGGCCAAGGGGCTGCACGTGCATGTGTTGCTTTAGCATTGTAGTGGGCTTCCCTGAAAGCTCTGTCCCCCCCAAGAAGGGAGCCATTTCCATTCCCAACGCTGACCCCATGTAACTGGTGAGCAACCCTGGGCTGACCCCAATCAGCACAACAGGCCTCCTGAGTAGTGACAGCAGAAGTTACTCTTTCCAGCTCTGATTCCGCGGTGCGTCAAGGGCAAGCACACACAATTGGGCCCATTCCACTGCTGCTCGGGAGAGGCTACAGTCACCTGCAGGCACATTCAGCCGTCTCCAAGCTCAGGACCCAGGACTGCCCCAACTGGGCTCCACCTTCACTGACTGTATCTGAGCAGTGAGAACCCACAGGGCCAAAACTCTGGGCCTCCAGCTAGGGCCCCTATGGTGTGTTTAATCCTGCTTGGAGTCTCAGGCCTGTTTATTTTTTAATTCTTCAATGAAATAGATTCAAGTAACTGGGGTAGAAAACATAAAAAGCACTAGATGGAACACACCTTTCCTTCCAGCTAACACTCACTTAAACCATGTCCTCACTGACTTTTACAAAGGTATCAATAATGGGTCCCGCAGTTTTGGTGGGCACCAGCAAGGCCTTGTCTGACCAGAAGTGGCTGGGCGGTTGGGAAGGAAGACAGGCTAGCTCAGGAGCAGAGGAGAGAAGCAAGCCCCTCCCTGTGTCAGGGAGGAAATGTCCGTGGGAGAAAACCCCACCAAACCTGCAACTGGCAAAATTCCAGTCCCATGGAGGTGCAGTTACCTCTGCATAGTTTTTTCCTTCTTTAACCACTAGGAATAGATTTGGATCACACTGAGGAACATAGGCCAAGAGGGTTTCATTCTAGATCTGCCTTTCAAGTAGTTTCTTACTCAGGATAAATATTCATGTATGCCCAGATACTAATAAAGTTATGCTTGCCATCCTGGCCTCTCCACTTGCAATAGTTCCCTGGAATTGGGTAACGTTGAGAGCGGATGGGGTCTGTTGCCAATTGAAGGGGCTGTTAGCTCTAGGCATGCTAGCTCTACAGCTGGGTTGGCCATGCTTTGTCATAGTGACATTAAGAATTTTAGCCTGGCCAGGCATGGTGGCTCATGCTTGTAATCCCAGCAATTTTAGAAGCTGAGGCAGGTGGATTATCTGAGGTCAGGAGTTCCGGACGAGCCTGACCAACATGGTGAAACCCCAACTCTACTAAAAATACAAAAAATTAGCTGGGTGTGGTGGCGTACACCTGTAACCCCAGCTACTTGGGAGGCTGAGGCGGGAGAATCACTTGGACCTGGGAGGCAGAGGTGGCAGTGAGACAAGATGGCGCCATTGCACTCCAAACTGGGTGACAAAGCAAGACTCCATCTCAAAAGAAAAAGAGAAAAAAAGAATTTTAGTTTGTCAAAAAGAAATTGGGAGTGAAGATGACACAAAGAGGTAAGAAAATGCTTTCTGACCCTCTTTGTCAGGGCCAGCATATCTGGTAGAAGAGGCCTCAGGGGTAAATCTTTATGGACCCACCAGTAATCATAGTAACTAACCCTCTGAGCACAGAAGCCTCTTCCAGCTCAGTTCGCCAAGGCTCCTTGCAGCTGTATGTTTTCTGATTCTCTGGAGGGGCTGCCAGCATGAGAAAATGTGTTTTGAATTGTAAACATATTCTGTCTAATCTTAAGCTTGTTTCTATTGCTGTCATTTGAGAAATCTAATCAAACTCCAAATACACTAGCAGAACTCACAATTTAAAGAAATATATTTTGGAGGAGGGTAGTCAGATACAATCAAGTTACTAAGCATTCCCTAATTTATCAAAGATTTAATCAGTGTTTTCCTAGAGTGGTTCTGCTTGAGTGAGGCTCACCTCTAATGCAAGACTGCAGAGGCTACTGATCGCCTTGGTCTTGGCATTAATGAGCTGGGTGCTGATCTCAACTGGTAACATGTGGCTTCAGTTGTGAAATATCATGGTATAAAAAAGAGGAGCATGAACCTGTAGTAGGAATCCAAGGTGTTTTCACTCCTCAAAGAAAGGTTTTACAGAAACTATTAGTTTCTTAAAAGTAGAAGATATCACTATTACTATTAGTATTTTAAAAGTAGAAGACAAAATTCTTCAAAAGCATTACTCTGGCCAGGCACGGTGGCTCACACCTGTAATCCCACAACTTTGGGAGGCCGAGGCAGGCGGATCACGAGGTCAAGAGATTGAGACCATTCTGACCAACATGGTGACACCTTGTCCCTACTAAAAATACAAAAATTAGCTGGGTGTGATGGCGCAGGCCTGTAATCTCAGCTACTTGGGAAGCTGAGGCAGGAGAATCACTTGAACCTAGGAGGCAGAGGTTGCAGTGAGCTGAGATCACGCCATTGCACTCCAGCCTGGCAACAGAGCCAGACTCCATCTCAAAAAACAAACAAAAAACAACAACAAAAACCACAAAAGCATCATTCTTGGGCCACATTGTTTTCTTGCTGATCAAAGTGAAGATCAGGCTGCCTTTGGCAAAACTGAGAAGAAAACATCACAGCCCACTTCCTATTTTCATGCCATTTCTGCTTCTACCAGTCTCACTATAGCTCTTCTTAAGTACCTATGATCTTAATCCTTCATCAACACCTGTTCTAAGAAAATGATCTAATGTCAGGCATTTACAGATTGATGTGAATGTCAGTCCTGATATGGCACTTCTCCCAGGGGTATGTAAACTTTTAAGTTTTAGGTCTAGTTGTAGCAAAAGAATTTATAAGCTTTGGTGTGCAAGTGATGGTAGCTGGGGAGGAGGAGAGATGGGGATCTCTTGCCAGTTATAAATAGGGCTGCCTTTATGTAAAGAACAGGGCATTCCTAGAACTGCCCTACAGATCAGCAGTGGTACATGACAGTATTGAACTCCAGGACTAAGGGATAGGGAACTCTTTCAGAATTATGCAAAAGTCATTAATATGCAGATATACACAGTCACACACAAAACACAAACATCTATGTATGTAAATCGGCATAGAATGCAGAATGGCTATGATTAATAGGGGGATTGTAATCTACCAATGGCCAAGTCCTGATACTAAAATTTAATCTATACATCTAGTAACCATTTGCTGTTACAATTAAGTTCTGTCCTGCAACCAAGAAACACAGCTCCTAGTAAACATTTGGAAAATGGGTTCATGATCTGCCATGCATATAAAGGAGGCTCTATAGTGACATAAATTATTATTTTTAGTTTTTGGAGGAGGGGAGGGCTAGCAGAAAGGTCCATGTCTTTATAACACCAAAGTGACTGGTCAATTTGGTAACAACAAAATAATTTTTTTTAAAGCTATTAAGTTGGTTGTAAAATAGCTGTTTGCCTGATGTATTTCCTAAGATTAAGTTCTTGGCTCTCCAATCGAGGCAGGTAACTAGGTCATGCTATCAAAACCCTACCTTCACTCTTTCCTTTCCAAGGAAGAAAGCGGTGGCGTGCAATACGTCGGCAGCATGGGTGGAGTTGTGGTAGGCGTTGGAAGAGTGGTAGTTGGCTTCGATCACTTGGAACCAGGCCCGAAGAGTGGTTTCAGAACAGTTTAAAAATTCACATACACCAAACCGAGAGAAAACCTTTAAGCCCAGGTAAACCAAAGGCCTGAAAAATAGGAAAACCCACCCTAGTTCATTGTATTCACTGGCCCAGAAACTTTTCTTCCATGTTACTGGAGGGTGGAAGCATTTTTCTTCTGATGATAGCTTCACACACACAGGCGTATAAAAGCATCACCTCCAAAAATTAGGGGGTAGGATCTCTCTGCCTCACCAGCCACCTCTTTGGAACTAGATCCTTCATGGAATTATTTCTAGATGATCTCTAAGCCCTAGGCCCCTCAGTGGCCCTGGTAACCAAGAAATGAGACTGGCAATCCCTCTTCATCTCCACTTCCACACCAACCTTGCACTTTATTTATGCTCCCTAAGGAAGTGACTAAGCTTAAGGACAAAAGGAACAGCTTGGATGGTGTCAAAGTCCTATCATTTAGAGTCCCATTGCTTATTTACGTTACAGGTGAGAATCATTCATATCCTATTGACCAAGCCACTGGGAATAAACAGCTTTCTCCTCATATAGAAAAAGTCCTTTTAGTTATCTTTCCTCTGCCTACAGGATGGAGCAGACAAAAAAAAAATCTATAGTGCTCTCAATTCCATACTGTAGGGCAGAGCTTTGAGACAAGTTTGAGGCTGAGGATTCGTAGAACTCTTGGTTCACTAGCACAAAGAAGGGACCTGTGGATGCTCAGGCGGATCCCACATCTTACTAATACCCTCCACAAAGGAGCTCACTCAAGGCCACAGTCTCTCTGCTCATTCACCGCTACTCCAGCATGACACAAGAGCCAGAACCTGTGAGGTCTCTCATGGCAAAAACGTATCTCTCTCAAAGTTTCCAAATGTGAGAGTTTGAGTGTGGCCATCAATCCTGCTCTGCCTTCAGCCAGAGAAGTCACATACCTTTTATGTGTAACCGCTTCCAATTCAAAGATGTTGAAGTCCCAACTCTCCTCATTATCAAGTAATTGAGAGATACAAGGGGGAACATCATTGATGGTTATTGGCATCGCCAGGTGACTGTGGCTCTGGTGCACATCTGAGCAAACAGATGGGTTGTGGAAGACTGGTTAACTGTGGAGTCTTGAGTGCCCGGGTATCTGTCATCATCTTCACGGTTACTGCTACGAAGTCTTAGGGGGTGGGCTCGGTGGCTCACACATGCAATCCCAGTACTTTGGGAGGCTGAGGCAGGCATATCACTTGAGATCAGGAGTTCAAGACCAGCCTGGCCAACATGGTGAAACCCCATCTCTACTAAAAATACAAAAATCAGCCAAATGTAGTGGCACGTCCCTGTAATCCCAGCCACTCGGGAGGCTGAGGCAGGAGGATTGCTTGAACCCAGGAGGCGGAGGTTGCAGTGAGCCAAGATTGTGCTACTGCACTCTACCCTGGGCAATAGAGCGAGACTCTATCTCAAAAAAGAAAAGAAAAAAGAAAAGTCTTGTATTTCCTAGAGTAGGAACATTTTCACTTCAAGATTTTTCTGGGGCTGGGTGCAGTGGCTCAGGCCTGTGATCCTAGCATTTTGGTAGGCTGAGGCAGGAGGATCACGAGGTCAGGAGTTCAAGAATAGTCTGACCAACATGGTGAAATCCCATCTCTACTAAAAAAGAATACAAAAATTAGCTGGACATGGTGATGCGTGCCTGTAATCCCAGGTACTCAGGAGGCTGAGGCAGGAGAACTGCTTGAACCTGGGAGGCAGAGGTTGCAGTGAGCCAAGATGGCACCACTGCACTCCAGCCTGGGTGACAGAGCGAGACTCCATCTCAGAAAAAAAAAAAAAAAGATTTTTTGTTATTGAACTTCAAGACCCTCAAATAGAAAAATAATTCAGTTTAACTCTGCTTAAATGTATAGAGATTTACAATTCTTACTCTAACCATGCTCAGAGCAGTAATTTTAATTAGTGGACTGGTTTTAGATGTAGACCATATTGATGCTTAAACTCAAATGAGAGTAGCTGGAAGTAACGCCTCCCAGAACAATAATCACAACAGTGGGGACAGCACAGGCTGGAGGCAGGTCGCGGTAACAAGCAGACAGATGAAAACTTACTCTTTGTAAACACATACTCGTTTCCTGACAGCCTTCTCAAGCCGTCCTTGAATAAAGGAAGAGCCTGTTAGAAGCATGCTTTATATCCATTATCATTCTCCTCTTTCTTTCATTAGAAAAAGAGATTTGAATCCCGAATAACCCAATCAATCTGGACGTCTAAGTTGCAGCAAAGCTCAAAATTAAATCAGAACAGTTATCAGACAGATGACACTCTCCCTTCTGTAACTATGAGCCCCAGAAGGTGGAGAACTGGGATAGAGTGAATGTGACCGTGCTGAGGACTCACAGGGAGTTGTGGGTGGGCCCTGTTGTGAGGCCATCTTCCTCTCCTGGCATTTTCAAGCCAGGTAAGTGAAATCACAGGAGTGACCTTGCTTCAGCTCTTGAAGGGATCCCACTCACCCTCAGAGGGACTGTGTTACTTGTGTCTTTAGACTTACATTTCGAGGAGCTGAAAACATCAGCCACATTTAGGGGATTACCTTCTAATGTAAACTTTTAAAAAGATTGAGCTATTTTTTTGACTAATATCTCAACTAATTTTTTCCCAACTATTTTTATGTTTTTAAACATGGGCATTGCTTCTTGCCTTTTAAAGAAGAGTTTCTGGGTTTGAGGTCCTTGGAGATGCAGCATCAAGAAAGTGGACGAAATGCCAATGTTCTGCCATATCCAGGCTCTTGAACTATTCCCCAAATATTCTTGAATCTCAGTTTCCCTCCCTCCACCTTGGATCTCTGAGTACCTAAATTACCTAGCTCTTTGCTTAAAAGTCATTTTAGAAATGCTTACTTGTCATTCCCAGCTGATGTGTGCTAAGGTTTAAAGTAGTATTAATTAATGAAGGACTCACCTGAAGTTATACCTGGGATCTTTAGGCCCAGAGCTTAATTTTTAAAATTCAGTAAACATGGAAGTCGCAACAACCACAACTGTCCTGCCTCTAAACTGTGTGGCAAGGGATTCCTGGCTTTCCTTGCTGTTCTCTTGCTCTACTTCCCCAAAACCACATAAAATTGAGGTGGAATCACACACTGGTTCTTCACAGCATCCTCTGGAGAGGAAACCCAGGACGGTATGGCAGTGAGGTAGGAGGAGGCTCGGACATGGGGCCAAACTGAGGACTACGTAAAACAGGTCCAGGGCAGAAGCATCTCCCCATAAGCTATGTGCACCTGTGTACCATGTCAGTTTACTGTTGCCATGGCAACACCCAGACTTTTCCACCCCTTTTCATGGCAACAACCCAGAAATTACCACCCTCATCCTAGAAATAGCTGCAAAAACTGCCCCTTAATATGCATATAATTAAAAGTGGGTACAAAGATGAGTGCAGAACTGCCTCTAAGCTGCTACCCAGGGCACACTGCCCATGGGGTAGCCTTGCCTTGCAAGGAACAGCCCTCCTACTGCTACTGTCCCCTGCTGCTTCAGTAGAAGTTGTTGTTTAACACCACCGGCTCGTCCTTGAATTATTTCCTGGGCGAAGCCAAGAACCCTCCCAGGCTGAGCCCCAGTTTGGGGGCTTGCCTGTCCTGCATCAGCAGCAGGGAGGGAGGGAACATGGCTTGCTCCCAGAACCATATCCCTCCCACTGCAATCTGTGGTGGCCACTGTCTTGCAGAGCCCTTGCCAGTGCTGCCTAGAAGCTGAGGTCTGCATTGCATTAGGTGGAGTTAACACAGGCTCCCCCAGGAGCAGGAAGAGAACAAGAAGGCCCTCAAGTTCCAGATGGAGAATGGAGGGGAAAGCCAGTCAACACTCAGCATTTGGTGGCAGGGCTGCACAGAAACCTTCAAAGTCAAACTCATACATGATGTCTGGACTTTTTCTCTAAAGAATTCCAGCTTCGGACTCTGATGGGGAACTCAAATAATTTGAATTTTTTTTCCTTTACTTGCTGACAGATGATTATGAAAGCCAAACAGATCACAGCAAAACACTAGAACAGGATGAGGAGTCCCTAGAAATCAGCTACTCTTGGTGGTGTAAATGGTGCTTTTTGGAATGTGGCAGTAAGAGGTTCCTTCTCCCCCTCCCCTCCCTGAGCCAGAACAGCCCCAATCTGCTTTTACTTTATAAATGGTACTTCTATACTAACTTTTATTTAAATAAAGGATTCTATAGTTAAGATTAAATGCTACAGTCTAACTATAAACCCTTTCATTACATAAGGAGTCAGGTCCATGGAAATGAAATCCAATACTATACCAGATCAAGGGAAAGCAGCAGGAATCAAGAGCCTGCAGACACCCCTCTGGCACATGTAGCCCTCCATCAGTTACCCACTGACTCCCTGCAGTCATAGGAAGACCGAAGCACTGTCCCCATGGCTATGGTAGGTCAGCCTTACAGAAAGACAAATGCAAGAGTCACTCAAATACCACTACACATATAATATGTAAATTCCAATGCAGTTGCTTCTGACTATGCTAACATTAGTTAACAAGCAACAGGTACTTCTGCAACCACGGGTAACAGTTCCCACATCAACTGAACTCCAGAGGCCCCAGATGCCCCTCTTGCTTTTCTGGTTTTGCCTCATCACTCACAGTCATCAGGCCTCCAACAAGATCACTGGTGTGGGGATCTTCATCTTTGGTACCCAGCTGAGGGGAGTACAGTTCTGTGGTCCGTAAAATCTCTAGAACTCTGTCCAGGGCTTCCGCTACTGTGACTGGGCTGTTTTCTTGGGCTGCATTGATTATATTGATAACCTAACAGGGTGAAGAAAGAATATAGTTGAGGACAATAGGATTCTGCTTCACCAAAGTCATATGTATGCCCAGAATCCAAAAGAAATCAGTTGGTAACCGTCTCTTATTCAAAATGACCAGCCCCTTTCACAGTACCACCCTTCTTCCTGAAGCATGCTTTTCTCCCCACGGGCTACTGGTGACTGTTCTCTTACCTCAGTGACTAGGCTTCCTCGGGCTCCCATGCGGATTCACCTCCCCAGGCCCTCCTTTACCGGTTGGAGTGGCTCAGAGATCTGTTCTGGGCCCCTCTCTCAGTCTCTCACTTCCAGAAATGGTATTTCATTTCCATGTCTTTGGACACCTATGATCCACAGCCAGGAACTTTCTAATTTACCTCCCAGCCCTCAGCTTCCTTTGCCCTCCAGGCTTGTACATTCAATTCCCTACCTGGCATACCTACTGGAATATCTCATAGGTCTAGCACTAAACACACAGTCTCCTTCCCTTCTCCCCACAAAAAGCATGTAAACACACACAATAAAAAAAAAAAAATCAAAGAGAACAGCTGTTCACCTTCTGTGGTTTCTACAACAGAAAGCCCTTCTATCCACCTTATGCTCACGCCTGAAACCTGGGAGGCCCTGTTGACGTAAGATCTGTCCCCATTCCTCTCCCAACCCTAGCAGTGTAATTCATCACCAAGTCCTGTTGGTCTACCCCAAAATATTTCTTGATCTATTCATTTCTCTCCACCTCCACTGCTATAATTCTAGCTCAGCTACTTCTAGAATAGCCCCTAACTGACCTGTTCTCTTGCCGCCTCCAATCCATTCTCTGCACATAGCTGGGTATTCTTTTCAACAAACGTATCTGGTCACATCGCCCACCCCACACCTGAAACTCTTCAGTGGTTTCCACTACACACAAACTAAGATACAAACTCCTATGTCCCTGCTGACCAGAATGAGCTGAGCCCTGTGCAACTGACATCCTCCTCCTCTCCCCCCTGCTTACCAAGCTCCAGCCACTACGACTTTCTTTCAGCTCCTTAAATGTTCCAGTCCCTCTTTGCCCATCCCTGTGCTTTTCTTCTTGCTGTTCCTGCTACCTGGAGACTTCTCTTCCTTCTTTTCCTGAGTAACATCTATGCTTCAAATCTTGCTTCAAAATGACTCAGTTTCCCTGACTGCCCCTCTCATCCAGCCCACTTAAGGGCCCTACTGTAATTTCCTCTCACAGAACCCAGTCCTTCACTGTCCCGACTGTAACTTAGGACAAGATGTTTATGTATTATGTGTTTACCTGCCTGCTGTTTCTTCCGCTAGACTGAGCTCCATGATGTCTATGGCTGTATTTTCAGAGCACAGCCCAGTGCAAGGGCCCCCGACTGCAACATGTGGACAGCAGTCACCACTCACCTTTGTGATGGGAGCCTCGATGGTCATGGAGTGGATCCTCGCCATGGACGGATAACGACGATTTTGCAGGCTTGGTGCTGGGAAGAAGGGAAGAAAGCTGTGTCCGGTTCTGGTGGCTCAGTGTGTTTAAGTGCAGCAAAGGCGTCCCTTCATGGATGGGGCCCACTTCTCACAGGACTGCCCTCCCTTCTAAAAAGCCATGAATTCACCCATCTCTTCTGCCAAGGCTGATAGCCCAACTGCTACTTGTCCGAGTCTGGAAAGGTGATCCAGCCTGGAACTTCGGTGGCAGGAGGGCTTGGTGAGCCCCAAGTCCACAAGGGCATTTCTGAGGTGGATGGGGTCCAAAAAGGCCTCATTCCAACAGCCTAATGACCCCCACAGGACCCACTTTTCCCCAATCACCCAACCCCAACTGTTGTAGTTCCATGACTTTCAGTCCTAAGGCACTGGCCGTGTAACCAGATGACTGCAGCCAGCATGGGAAGGGAGGCAGTTCATGGTTAGAGTCAGGGCGGAGGATTGAGCCCATCTCAGTCTGAATTAGGGCCAGTCACTCCCCCTGCCCATGCCTTTAGCCTCTTAACTCCCAAAAGTTCTAGTTCAAATCTACAGAAACTTTCATTTAAAAAAAAAAAAAAAAGTTTATTTTTCTGAATATGTCATGTTCATACTTGGTTTAAGATATCAAGAGTAGAAGCTTGGCTTTAAAAGCACTGTTCTCATCAAATCTTCCTGCTGCCCCATCTGAGGCAGACCAGAGGGGTAGAGTCCCATTTCATGGAAGGGATCACTGAACCCAGCCTGCAGCAGAGCCTGCCTCCTGCTCAGCTACCTCTGGGGTCCCTCTGGCTGCCGGTGCAGCAGCCACTGCAGGCCTGCATGCTCTTCAGCCTCCATCGTGCCCATGCTGGAGAGATGACAGTCCCCTTCAAGTTCCACTCCAGAAACAGTGAGTCCACTTCAAACTCCCTCATCCCTTATCCTCTCAGTCTAAAATATTCGATCTATCCCCTCAATCCATCTCAAAATCCCTCAGTTCATATTCTTTTGAATTAGAGACGTATCTCCGTCCCTCAAGTGCCCTGTGAATCTATCTTTTTTTAAGCATCTTTGATCCTTGCTTTGTTAGCCACTTTCATACTCAGCCTTCCCATTGTATCCTAAGCACAGGAAAGTCCCTCCCCCTTACCCTTTCTGTTGACTGTCATCTCTTTTCTATCACAGGCACTAACCATCCCCTCCTCACACCCCAGAACCTAACCCCTCATCTGCCAAATAAAAACCAAATGAGCGAGTGAAATCTACTAGTCTGTTGTCCGCTCTTGAGCTCTGATCTGCACGGCATCTAATGCTGCTGGCCACTGCCTTTCTCAATCCCCTCTTGTTTTTGGTTCATGTGACATGCACTCACATAGTCACCCCAGCTCTTCTGTCCTCTTCACTGGCCTTATTTCCACTGCCCACTTCCTGAGACTGTGCCTTCAGACTCAGGCTTAGACCCTCTCCCTGCTTTCACTACATCCACATGAACAGACACCCCTTAGAGATGTTCTTCTGCGTCTCGCTTCACCTGTCACCTCTAGAACTGCCAAATCCATGTCTAGAGCCCCGAGTACCAGGCTTGCAGTTGGCTTCCTAGACATCTCCACTAAAATAAGATTCAGCTTCTCCTTAACCCCAACCTAGCCAAACCTGAAGACATTCTCTTTTCTGTAAATACGACTTAAAATGTCCCAGACACAGAGGAATGAAATGTCAGAATCATCTTTGACTTTTCTATCTCCCTGCGAATCCAACTGTTTACTTAGGCCTGGCCGATGGAACTCAAAAAATACTTTGCTAAATTCTGCTTTTCAGGGCAGAAAACATTTTGCTAAATTCTGCTTCACAATTTCTCGGTGACATTTCATTAAGGAGAAGTGAGTGCATATAGCTAGTACCCTGAAAACTAGGTTTGTGTTGGGAGTTGGGAAGCCAGGACTGGCTGCCTCTCTGCCTCTAGCACCCAAGATTGACCTGTCTAGCTACTGAAACTCTGAGTTGCTTGGGTGGTTATGGCTCAACGTTTCAAGCCATCAAGAAACAAGCATGGAGTCCATCCAAAGAGAGAACAAAGACTGCACAATAAGATTTTTAAAAATAATTAATAAAAACCCTAAAAACCTTTCAGCATACTGAAAAAGAAGCTGGTGGTATTGAACCCTTACTCTTTGGAGTTTATATGCTGATGAATTTTTGAACATATTCCTTCATCGTTTTCTACATTTTAAAAAGGTCAAAGGAATCTGAAAAATGTCTTACCATCACTGCCTCGAGATGATATCGATTTCACGTCAATGGACTCTTTCCTCCTGTTCTTATATCTGAATGAATGAGGCTCTAAGGATTTCAGATTAGAAAGGGAAGGTGATTAGTTTTCAGTGTATTCACAGCAGAGATTCAAACATGTTTTTTCTTTATTCTCTAAAGAAAACAGAGTTAGTTTTTAAGCACTATAAAATAATTTTAAGTCAACCACTTTCTTTTCAAATCATAAAGACACACAAAATTATAGTCATATTAGTTAAATGATGACCTTTTTAATGGTGCATGTTATATCACAGTAATATAGCTTAGTATCAAGGGTTATTTAGTTCCATGAATGTAATTTTGAAAATAAACATTAGGCCGGCCACGGTGGCTCACACCAGTAATCCCAGCACTTTGGGAGGCCAAGGTGGGTGAATCACCTGAGCTTGGGAATTCAAGACCAGCCCGACAAACATGGAGAAACCCCACCTCTACCGAAAAAAATACAAAATTAGCTGGGCATGGTAGCGCATGCTTGTAATCCCAGCTACTCAGGAGGCTGAGGCAGGAGAATCACTTGAACCCAGGAGGCAGAGGTTGCAGTGAACCAAGAATGTGCCATTGCACTCCAGTCTGGGCAACAGAGTGAAACTTCATCCCCCCACTGCAATAATAAAAGAAAAGAAAAATAATTTAAGAAAATAAACATTAAAAGTTGAGGGACATTCTGTGGGGGGGTTCATCTCGACTTGAAAGACAATATATTCAACTGGATAGGGAAGGCTTTTATGGGATATTTTAGGAAATATGGTACTAATGAAACCTATAGAGATTTAAATAAGAAATTAATTCAGATGAATTTTGGGCACCTCTGAAAAGTCAGACTTCGAGATGGTCTTCTAGATTCTCTTTGAGGACGGATTTCATCAAATGATACATACTGATGATCATAGGAAAGGAAGATAACAGTTTTAGATTCCTCCAAAATTTCAACAACTAAACTCTCACCCTGTCCCTATTTTCCGGGGGTAGAGGTGGGAAGTGGCACGGGCAAACATTTAAAGAATTTTGGCCTAAGTCTTTACAGACTTTGAATTTAACACTGAAAATGCACCATCACGTTAATGTAAAAACTAACAAAAAGCATATGCCACCAGTGAGCGCCGAGATATAAAAAATGACAAGGCAGCAGCGTTGGCTTCAGAAACACACATTTTCAGCGCATTTGCTTCTGGTGAGAGTAACTCATAAGCCAGTAGGGAAATTTAGCTATCATACAGGATTACTCCTCACCAGGCTAAGACAGGAGGCAGACATGCAAATTTCAGCAGGAAGAATGCGTTTCTCAGATGCCAATAAATGATCATATTCCAAGAAGGAAAAAAAGATGCTTCTTTAAGAATTGCCTAGTGACACAAGGTGCAAGAAGCCTAGTAGTTAAGGAAACTAGCTCTCGAGCCAAATTGCCAAGATTCAAATTTCTACTGTGCCACCCAGTAGCTGTGTAATCCTGGGAATGTTACTTAACTTCTCTGGGTCTCAGTATCCATGTCTATAAAGTGGGGGTAATTAAAGCATCTTATTTATAAGCTGTTGTGAGAAATGAGTTAATATATGTATAGCGTTTAGAACAGCGTCTGCCAGAGTGGGCATGTTGTGCATGGAGGCTGTTAATTACATCGGTTCATTTGCATGTATGTCTTTAGACACACGTGATCCCGTTACACTGTTCTACTACTTACTGTTTTCACTGTATAATGTCTTAGACACTTCTCTAGATCACCTAAACCATTTATTTTAGTGTCCTAAAAACCTGATTCAACTAAATAAAATGGTTAAATCAAAAATTGAGACCGAATTATATTTATACAGAATGAAGTGAAGGTGGAACTGTTATAAAGTTAATCTGAACACCATAGCTACAGAGCCTTATCTTAAATAATCTCATTTAAAATATTTATTATAACATCTCTTTTCCTATTTTTTATCTTCCATATTCCACCTTAGTAACTTTCCTATCCATGCATATATGTTTCAATATATATTTTTAAAATTATCTATAAATAGTATTTTATATTGATGGGATTTTTATGATTGGGATTTTTACATTTATATTGGTGGGATCCATGATATTGCTGGGATCATGGAATTTCTGAAACCCTGAGAAACTAATAATGCTCACTTGTGAGACCCTTGTTTTAGCCTATTCAGAGACTTAATTATGTACAGTCCTAGCATTTATTTAACAAGTAATAAATTAAGTCTAACTTAAAGATTTAAGATTAAATGCAAGATTAAGGAACCCAAATTCCTCAAAATGTAATTTCTAAACAAAACTAAAAGTAGAGAGGTTAGCTTCAAGGCTGTGGCGCAGGCTGGCTGGCTGAATTTTAAGTCATTCATTAGAAATTACTCAACAATGGATGATGTTTCTTCTTCCTGATTTTACCTCAGTTAAAATTAAGAGAATCTATAGAAATAGAAATGATTAAAAGTTTGGAGAAATTATTCTTCAATAAAGGCTAACATCAGGCCATATAGAGAATTCATTGGTCATTCTTTCAACAGATGTTTATATGAATTAGAAACTTGAGCCAGAGAAAGGGTAAAGGAGATGTAAATGGCTGTACTCTATGGCAAAAAGGAATACTGGTGCCACAAATTAAAAAAAGAAAAAAAAAAAAGCTCCACTTACTGAGTACCTACTGTGTGCCAGACATTGTACTCTGTACTTCAAATAAAATAATTATGTCATTCAATAATTACAACAATTCTGAAAACTACATAGGGCTATCCCCATTTTATGGGGCCAGGCACAGTGGCTCACGCCTGTACTCCCAACTTTGGGAGGCCAAGGTGGGCAGATCACAAGATCAAGAGTTTGAAACCAGCTTGACCAACATGATGAAACTCCGTCTCTACTAAAAATGCAAAAATTAACTGGTGTGGTGGCTCACGCCTGTAATCTAAGCTACTCAGGAGTCTGAGGCAGGGGAATGGCTTGAACTCAGGAGGCGGAGGTTGCAGCGAGCCGAGATCGTACCACTGCGCTCCAGCATGGGTGACAGAGTGGGACTCTGTCTCAAAAAAAAAAAAAAAAAAAAATGTAAGCATGGAGAGAGATTTTGTATGTAGCCCAAGATCAAAGAGAATAAATGGTGGAAACTATACTTCCAAGATGAAATGGTTTCAATTTACCAATGTTTGCTGAGTATTTGTGCAGTGTCTATTATGTACAAGGCAATACTGGGCACTGCAAAGGACATGAAAATGCTTAGAGCCATTTCTGGCACCCAGAAGCTCCCAAGTTACTTAAAATAATACCCTTGCTCAAGTGCTACAAGAAGTTAACTAAAATGCATGTGAGGGAGGGAGAGAAAGAAAATGCACTTGTGTGTGAAGTGTCATTATGTTATTCCAGGCTGTTCATGCCTAGAAAGCTTTCAGAAAGGGGGCAGATAGATACCAGTTAAATGCTAGTTACTGCTAAGCATTATACATTTCCTTCTTTAATCCTCATTAACAATGAGATAGGCTTTTGCCAATTCATTTTACAAATGGAAAAAAACTGAAGCTTAGAGCAAATGAAATCTTACCAAGTACGCTAGATATGATCCACCTCATCAAGAAGAGGGACTAAACACTGAGCCCAGGGTCTGACGTTATGCATTAGTGGCTGGGAAGGCCACCAACAGGACAAAGAATGTTCCAATTCTTGGCAAGAACAAAAAAATGGTAGCAGACTGATTTTTTTTCCTAACAATCAAAAAATTCCAGACTTTCCACTTGTAGAAGTCATCAGGCCCAGCTCCTGTTTTTGTGGAGGAAGCCAAGGACCAAACAGAGCCTTGCCCAACATAGGAGATGAGCGAGTAGGAAACCGAAATAGGAACGTGGTGCTTCTGCCTCCCGGGCCAGGACCTAGTGACATGTTCCAACTGTACAGTCACTGATTACTGCAAAGCAAAGGGAGCAAAGCAAAGGGAGACTGGACAGGGTTGAGCAACCACCGTACCGTCACCTGGGTCACATTCAACCAGTGTCTCCCCCAGACTTTCTGGCCACTCTTTTGGGTTTATCTGTTCTACATGGTATCTAGCCAAGGAAAGAAAGACAAGATGGGGAGGGCATTCAGTGGAGAAGGTTCAAGGACATTCTAAGCGATTTCTGCTGTTCTTTTGGCTTGCCAACCCTGAGATATGAGCACATAGATTTTAGTAGTCCACCTTCTGGGGTGGTAGCTGTCAACCTAGACTTCTTCAGAGAAATGTATACACTTGAACCCACAACTGCCTCCTACGTTAGAGTTCAATTGAAGTATTCTCACCTGTCTGAGAATTGTCTCCTGAATCACGATGAATCTTGTGAATCTAAAGTCGTTCAAAAATTGGTAAAAGAGAAAGATTTTAAATATGCCATTAGCTATATTTCTCAAACAACTTAGTGAAAAAGCTCTGAAGACAACGAAAGCAAGAAGCTGCACATATAATATGAACAGATGAAAGTCATATGCCAAGTGACACAACTACAAAGTCTCTATCACTTTCAGACACTTAGAGAATGGCTGAGCCTGAGAGCAGGAAGACACCCAAGGCACATACTGTCTAGGCAGGACATCTGCTTCTCCAGGCAGCTCTTTTCTCATTTTGACAGCCTACAGAAATGCAGAAAGATAAAAGATATAACTAAATATAAGTTTTTATAAGCTTAATACATAACCTGTTTGTTTCAGATATGTTATAAAATTTTTCTGTACGACAGAAGTAATCTGAATTTAAGCTTAGGAGTTAGAAAACATTTCCTACAAAGCTCTTCAAATGCTCCAGTATAGACAGTCAATTTATAAAATGTTCTTTCACAATGAGATCTGAACTTTAGATGCAGTTTTGTACCTAGTTCTTTCTCATTATCAATTTTTTTTGTTAATGATTTTGTACTAATGTTCAATAAATATCTGTCAAATGACAAAATGAAGTCATTAACACTAGAAATAATAAGCGTGCTTTCTTTGGGATCCTGCATTTCTTATTTTATAACTGACCCCAACACTGTTAGTGGGGTACATTTAGTTCTATCAAACTTATAATCATGCTGCTTCACTGCGAAATCCACCTACTTTCAAGTGCTCAGACCATTAAATCTTTGTAGCCACTCAATACACGGGGTAGGTTAACTTGAAAAATAAGACAGATGAGCGTGCAGGACGTTTGCAGAGGCAGATTAATATGGCTTAGCAACATTAACTGTAATAACCAGAAATCCTGTCTGCGGAAGCCAAAGCGACTCCAGGTTGGATGCTAATCCACCATGTTGGCTTCTGATTAACCCCAGTTCCGGGATGGCCTCCAAGATGATTATTTTATCTGTTGTTCCTTGTGTAAGAAGAGCATGTACTTACCGTAAATCCTGCCCTTACATCAGAACAACCTTGGCTATAAATCCTGGCCTTAGGCAGATTCACACAGCATTCCTGCCTTTCCCCACAAGTGTCCTACACATTCCTGTCCTCTGGTACTTAAGTGCTGGGTCTGTGGGTAATGGAGCAGGGATCCACTATCTTGTCTCGGCACTACCCAAGGCACAAACAAACTTCTGTTCATAAGTTCCTATTAGCTTAAAGGAATGGGATTTGTCAGCCTCTTTCTTTGGCCTCTCAGCTTCCTCAGACTGTGGGGTAGGTGGGCACAGGCCTGCCCACCGTGACACATGTGGTAAGCCAGGCCAGGAGCTGAGAGACCAAGAAATGGAGGAAATCTTGTGGTGGGCAGACACTTTTACATGGAATGGTGTGGCTCACATTTCAGATGCTTCTGGACCACCCTGTCAGTGTGGGGATGCCCCCAAAATGTCAGGGGGGTTTAGAGTGATGGTGAACTGAGAGCCATCCATCACACTGTGGCTCAGAAGGGCCGTGGGCAGCCAACGCGGTAAGATGGCCACCTCTCAGTGGGAGCCAGTTGTCAGCAGATGCAAAAGCAAAACACCTGGCCGGGCGCAGTGGTTCATGCCTGTAATGCCAGCACTTTGGGAAGCTGAGGCCAGTGGATTACCTGAGGTCAGGAGTTCAAGACCGCCTGGTCAACATGGTGAAACCCCACCTCTACTAAAAATACAGTATTAGCTGGGTGTGGGCGCCTGTAGTCCCAACTACTCAGGAGGCTAAGCCAGGAGAATCACTTGAACCCAGGAGGTGGAGGATGCAGTGAGCTGAGATCATGCCACTACACTCCAGACTCCATCTCAAAAAAAAAAGGAAAACAGCTTGAGTAGGAATTACAATTAAGAAAAAGATTTTGTTTAAGGGCCCTACAGTCAAAAGTTAACTTATTTAAAACTGAAATTTGGGCATCATATGTATTGTTTTAAGGCCTCTACACTTTCCATAAAACTTCTGAGTCTACCGAATTCTGTTTCTCCATTTACTACTGTCTGTTCCTCCTTCCTCCTGCCATATGAGGAATCTAAAAAAAGTAATTTCCAACAGCCTGGGATCCCTTGGGGAAAACAGAGAAGGCATCAAAGACTCCTCTTTTGGGGAAGAATCTGTTTTTCCTCATGAAACCCAAGAGTAATAAGCAGACAGATTCTACTTAGGTCTAAAACCACACTCTTGTGTTATCTGATCTCTGGTTAGTGTGTGGGGAGGGTGGGAAGGTGGTACAGAGAGGACTTTGCACTATGAGAGGAGCTGATCTTGGTGTATGTAATGGCCAGCAGTCACAGGCAAGAGTCTTATTGTTAGAGGTGGCCGACAGCAGTTGTTTACAGCAAGTGGTTATTACCATCAGGGTTACTCATTTCTTGGCATGTTGGATAAGAAAAGTATGGTTTAGCCTAGAAAACCTAAGCAATACCATTCAGGACGTAGGATAGGCAAGCACTTTATGACTAAAACACCAAAAGCAATGGCAACAAAAGCCAAAATAGACAAATGGGATCTAATTAAACTAAAGAGCTTCTGCACAGCAAAAGAAACTATCATTAGAGTGAACCAGCAACCAGCAGAATGGGAAAAAATTTTTGCAAGCCACGCATCTGACAAAGGGCTAATATCCAGAATCTACAAAGAACTTAAACTTACAAGAAAAAAACAACCGCATCAAAAAGTGGGCAAAGGATATGAAGAGATACTTCTCAAAAGGAGACATTTATGCGGCCAACAAACATGAAAAAAGCTCAACATCACTCATCTTGAGAGAAATGCAAATCAAAACCACATTGAGATACCATCTCACACTAGTTAGAATGGTGATCATTAAAAAATCAGGAGACAACAGATGCTGGAGAGGATGTAGAGAAATAAGAATGCTTTTACACTGTTGGTGGGAGTATAATAAATCAGTTCAACTATTGTGGAAGAAAGTGTGGCGATTCCTCAAAAATCTAGAACTAGAAATACCATTTGACCCAGCAGTCCCATTACTAAATATATACCCAAAGGATCATAAATCATTCTGTTACAAAGACACATGCACACAT